GCTACATCTGCCGCGGCCATAGCCCCTTTTGGCACAAGCTGACTCATCGCACCCTCAGAAAAGCTGCCCACACCCACCTCACCTTACCTCACCCCGAGTCAGGGCTGAGTCTCAGCCAAGAAGAGGAAGTGAGGCTGAGTGAGTGGACGCCACTGTGTCCTCGGTCCCCTGTCCCCTCTGTCCACTATCTCCCGACCCTGAGATCCGGGCCCGGCCCTCAGCTCAGCTCAGCTCCTGCAGTCACGTGTGCAGGAGAGCATGCCCGAGCTTCCTTCGGGATGTTTGCGCATCTTTCCTGAGTTCTTTGTTCACAGGAAGGTTCCCCATTTATTAGCACCTTCGTGCACTTAAATAGGTAAATAACGATGCCGAAACCGGCTTGGCTCAGTGGATAGAGCTCGAAGGTTGGCCCTAGCCCAGTGGTGGGCAAACTTTTTGACTTGAGGGCCACAATGGGTTCTTAAACTGGACCGGAGGGCGGGAACAAAAGCATGGATGGAGTGTTTGTGTGAACTAATATAAATTCAAAGTAAACATCATTACATAAAAGGGTACGGTCTTTTTTCTTTAGTTTTATTCATTTCAAATGGGCCGGATCCGGCCCGTGGGCCGTAGTTTGCCCACGGCTGCCCCAGGGCCTATTTGCTGGGCCACCTGGGGCAGGCTACTTAACCTTTCTGTGCCTCTGCTTCTCCCTTGATGACGGACTCCTTTTCAGGGGCAAGAGGAGAGGGGAGCATTCCTCTGTTCAAGGGTCTCGAACTCAAATGTCTGCAGGGCCAGGCAGTAGGAAGAGGTGGGGCCAGGGGCACGTGGAGAGCCATGCCCCTAGCCCAGTGGTCGGCAAACTCACTAGTCAACAGAGCCAAATATCAACAGTACGACGACTGAAATTTCTTTTGAGAGCCACATTTTTTAAACGTAAACTCTATAGGTGGGTACATTGTTATTAGCTTAATTAGGGGACTCCTAAGCTGGCCTTTGCTAAAAACGTCCTCAATCTGATTGAGGTACGTTCGCTGAGGTCGACCCCTTCCAACTGTCCCATCCTCAACTCGTGCATGAATCGTGCGCACCTCCCTCCCCTACCCCCTACAACCCCCTGCGCTGCGTATCCCGCTGCCCGCCTGCCCCGTGTCTCCTGTCGCCCGACTGACCGACACCCCCCACTTCTTCTAAGGCCACTTCTTCAAAATAGACTCGCCCAGGCCGAAATCCGACTTCTGCGCATGGGCCACGAAGTGTCAATCGCACTGTACGTGCGTGCCCGCACGTGGTATTTTGTGGAAGAGCCACACTCAAGGGGCCAAAGAGCCGCATGTGGCTC